ACTCCTCACGGGCTATAGAAAATACAAAGTGCAAAGAAGATTAAGGAGGTGGGAAGGGTCTGGAGGGCAGCACGGTCTCCAAGCACTTCAAAAGCACCCACTGCACACGAACAGCATACTTGTCTCTGCTTGCCCCCTTTCCCCTTGAAGGGGGGCTCCAAGGGTCTTCTAGACGGTATTCCTTTTACCCTTACTCAAGTTGTCTGATGCATTGAAAATGAATTTATTGAGTACTTACTATATGCCACGCCCCAGGCTCTACATGCTGGAAATAACTCTGGAGGCCTTCAGCAGGGGCCTCAGTCTTGTGCTGAGAGTGGCCTCCTACCAGATCTGCCAACAGTGCCCTGGTGTGGCTGCCAGTGGTTTGAGCCATGTAAAAAAGCAACAGAGCAGGGCTGCGGGTAGAGCACGTGCTTTGGGTTCAGACAGACCTGGCTTAAATACCGGCTCTGCCATACACCCATTGCATGACCCTGAGCTAGTCACCTGTCCCGTCTGGGCCTCAGTGTTCTCATCATGGATGCAGTGAGATAATGCACAGGAGGTCATCACCTGGCACCCGGCAGTAGAAGGCACTTCCCTGCCCTACAGCAGCAAGGGAGCCATGACTGTCCCCAGACATGGAGGGGGACCCTGGTACTCCACCTGCTCTGCCCTAGGCCCCTAGATGCTCCAGGGTGATTGGGGGGAGGGGGGCTACCTGCTTTTGCACTACATTGTTTTCTTGGGTGGTTTGACTTGATCATTTCTACAGTGACAATGATGATGATGATTGGTCCTATGAAGAGTGTGACTTTGGGCCATTATGTGGCCTCCACACTCATCATCTCAATCTGTCCAACAGTCCTATGAAAGGGGTTGTTTATTCCTGTTTCAGATGAGTAAACTGTGGAGAAGCCCATAGAGAGGTGAGGGAACCTACCCAAGGTCAGCCAGCTTGGAAGTGGTGTGCCTGGACCCCAACCTGGGCTGGTGGGACTGAAGCAATGTCTATATTGCAATTTCCTACACACCCAGCATGGCTGACCTTTCCCATCCACAGCAGAGACTGGGGCTCCTGGGGGCATGGCCGGGCCTTCTCCAGTGCCACCCCCTGCTTCCAGGGCTGGGCACACGCTCAACCCACACTTCCCCAACACTGACTAAGTATAGCCCTGTGCAAGGCTAATGTGGCCCTCGAGGAGCTTCAAATTCAGAGACCCAGGCAGACAGAGGAGTTAGGAAACTGAGGCCAGCCAGGGAAGCTCAGCACCAAGCAGTGGGTCAGTCTGCCAAGACATGACCCAAGGAGAAAGAGGACAATCTGGAAGGCTTCCTGGAAGAGGAGGGACTTAAAGACAAGAAAGACTTAGAGGCAGAGAAGGCTCTCCAGGTGAGGGGACCAGCAAAGCTGGGGCAGAGTGAGAAGGAGTTCAGGGGCCACTATGGACACTGGCCAGGAGTGGGAAGAGACAAGCAGGGGTCTTGAATGACAGTCTGAGTCTGGACTTTATTCCATAGGCAGTGGGGTATATAGAGTGCTCTGAGAGTAGCCTGGGCTTCCCCCAATTGTCTGCTGCTGCCAGCACATGAGGCCTGGTCCTGAGGGATTAGGGAGCTCATTTTAGGAAGTTACACTGCTCCCACTCTCCACATGACCCGAACTTGAGGGCCACCCAGGATGGCTCCTCACCTGGCAGACAGCTTCAAGTTACCTCCACTTCCTCTATCCCCTCAGGCTCACTGTGGAAGGGTACATGCCCTGCCTTCCCTTCCAAGGACTTTGCATGTCACCTTGCCTCTCTGAGCCTCACTTTTCTCATCTGTGATATGGGAACAGTAGTCTGGCCCAACCCTTCAAGGCCCAGATCCAGGCCTCCTCTCCTCTGCCCTCCAAGGGCTCTAGGTGGGAGGACTTCATTTTCCCAAAGGGCCACAAGGGTACACTCCCTATGTGCAGCACACATATTAGCTGGCAAGTGCAAGGCTAATCAGCTAATAGTGCCATTTCAGACAGACTCAAGTTTGGAGTCTCCAGGGCTGCTCACACAGACCCAAAAGCAACCTGCAGTTCCCAGCCCTAAACCCACTCAGTCCTTCCGCCACCTTCCCTGGACCACCTCATGTCTCCTGCTCCATCCCTACTGCCCACCCCTGGGCAGCAGAAGAGGATATCACTCCAAAGCCCAAGGCCCAGGATGGGGACCCATTAAGAGACTTCAGAGCTAGAACCCCACCTCACTACTATTCAGAGGAAACTGAGGCCCTAAGGGGGCAAGGACTTGCCTAGAGGGTTCAAGCCTCCTTCCTGCCCCACAAGTGGGGAATGCCTGGCCCAGAGGAACCCCTCCATAGCTGGGAGAGGGACACCACTTCTCCTGCAGGGAGCCGGTGCTGGGTCCTCCAGGCATATGTGTCAGGCCCTAGACAATGGACTCAGGCATTCACGAAAGTCCCAAGGGGCAGGAAGGACCAGAAGGAGAAAGGTGGAAAACAGCAAGACAAAGAAAGTGGAGTTATGTTTCAGCAAGGGGGACCTACCTGAAGAGGAGACACGGAACTCGCCTGAATTCCACCTGCCTAAGTCTGGGTGCAGGGGGGTGGGGCGGACCTGCATTCAGGAGTTTCTCCTGCCTATGGCCTTGGAGGAAGAAAAGGCCCCTTTTGTTGATGAGGACAGTAGGGCCCAAAAAGAGTAGAAATGAACCTACTGCAATCGCTAGGCATCTACTGACAGGCAGAGGGCTGGGGGGAGAGGGCAGAAGCCTAGTGTAGCAGGGAGGTCCCACCCTGCTCTCTGTCACCCCTCCACCCTGTGACTCAGTTCTGGGGCTGGGAGCAGCTGATGTACCCCACCCTACAGGCTGAGGGTCAGGGAAGGAGGACCCAGGGGCTCAGGCCTGTGTGGCATCCCTCACCCCCCTACCTTACTCTTAGGACTCAGTCTGAGAGCTGAGGTACCAGCCTCCTGCCCTGGGGGTTCTCCTCCAGGCAGGTCCCCAGGAGCAGGGAAAGGAAGCTGGATGCAGAGCCCTAGGATCCCAGGCATATTCCCTAAACTCCCCCACCTCTATCTGTCTTGCCCCTACCTCTTGGAGGTATAGTTATCACCTACCCAAGGTTGGTGGGCAGGAGATTGTCTGAGTCCTAGTCCTAGCTGTGTCAATTCCAGCAAACCATTGCTCTTGCCGAGCTTGCAGGTTTCCCAGCTGTCAAATGGGCTGAGAGGTTGGACCAGACGTGTCACGCTGCTGACAACTGTTCACAATGGTATGGTGCTTTAGAGTGTCCACATCTGTCAAATGGAATAATAATACCTTCTCTATTCGAAATCGACTTGACAGCAACTGGTATAGTATACCTCAGGTTTAATTAAACTACTATGTATAAAGTACTTAGGACCACACTTGCAGTAAGAGTAGGAGCTCAAGATGCTATGTTGAACTGTGTGCAAACTGCTTTACTGTCCACGAGCTCACAGCAAGTACCAGCTGGTGATGGCTCATGGTGGGATTAATCTCTTTGGTTTATGAAGGACTAGAAGGGGAGGGAGAGGGAGCTAGATGATGGCCCAGAACACACAGAGGGTGAAGGGCTGGCTGTACCCATCTGTTCCCCAGGCAAGGTCTTGTCCCTCTTGTCCCCCTTTCCTTGGCCAACCGTCAAGCTTCATAGCCCCTCCATTGATGCTCTGTGTTCCTGGGCCTGCCTCCAGCTGAGTTACTGTTGCACGCCCAGGTCTCCCTGCCTCCTCCTTTCCCCCATCTTATCTACTCCAGACTCCAATCCCTTGGGGAGTCCCTTGCCCCGCCATCTGGCTCAATGGAAACAGCCTGGGCTGTGAAGTCAGACACACCTGGACTCCAGTTCCTGCTCTGCATTTCATCTCACCTCACTGTACCTCAGTTTCCTCACCTGTAAAATGGAGGTGATCACACCAACCTCCCTGACTTGTGAAGAGACTTAGGGTGGGGCCAAGCCCTGAGCCCTGCCCTTGCTGGCTCTCAGGTAGGGGACCACAGGTCCCAGCTTGGCTGGGCATGCACTGTTTCCCCTTGTTGTCCCAGGGTAATTACTAGGGCCCCTTTCATTCACAAAACTGCCCTGGTATAGACAGTTAATTATATGGTCGCCCTTCTCTCAGGAGACCCCTGGACTGAGCTTCATGGGCTGGACCAGGGGGCAGTCCAGGCCTATGGGTTTCATCTCAGCCCCAACCAGGCTCTGATCCCATTTTACTAACAGGGAGACTGAGGGGAAAAATTCTCTCAAGGTCACCTCAGAGGCCTCACCTATCCAAATCCAGCTCTCTGGACTCCCTGCCTGGGTCTCCCACCTCATTCCTTCTACTGCCTTCCCTTCTACACATACTCCATCTGTTCACAGGCTGGACAGACTACTGGGACCCAGGGCCAGTGTGGGACCTCCAGACAGGCTGTGGTCCCTGAAGCCTGCCGGGTTCTGTTTAAGCCAGATTCTAAGTCCCCTCCCTAACTCACTCCAGGCCAAAGGCCTGGGGATGGGGTGGGGGTGGGGGGCATGCAGAACCTGAGAGGGCTTGGCCTGGTGAGAAGGGGTCTTTCAAACCAAGGAAGGTGGGTCGGTCTCTGCCTGAGGCTGAATGCATCACCCCAGAGGACTGGTAGCCCCTTGCTCCTAGAAACACCTTAAGTGGAGACTCAGAAATGGCCTCTCTCAGCTCTGTCTCCCTGCCCGGGGTCCGAAAAGCCAGTCTGGCCTCTTTCCCTTCTGCTTCAATTCAATCCTGGGAGCTCTGGTATGAGGTCGCCTTCCTGCCCCCAGCCCTGACCTGGGCGAGGGTCCCCAGCCACTGCATGGGGCAGCTGTTTAATCCCTGTGCCCCTGCCTCCCACTGGCCACACAGGAACACGCCATCCAAGGAGCTAGTTGAACCAGCTTTCCCAGGCGCTAGTGTGGCGGTGCACGTGGCTCCACTTCCGCATAGGGAGACACCTGCCCCAGTGGTCCCCCCATCAGCCCCGGTCATCTCCCCTGCTCTAGCCCTTCCCCTGGAGCTCAGAGCCAGCTCTCTGCCATCGCTCTATTCTTGGTCAGACCCTCCCCAGAAGCCCTTCTTCCCCCTCCCTACTTGAAGGCCTGAGAGCTCACTGGGCCCACTGCCCTCACTTCCCCAGGAAACTAAGGCCCAGAGAGAAGGCACTTCCCAGGAGCACACAGCAAACTGGGGACAGAGCCAAATTGGAGCCTCATGTTTCCTGGAGCTGAAAGGAAAGGGAAGGAGGGGAGGTGAAGGTGGATAGTAGAGAAAAGGGCAGAGACAAGAGGAAGAAGACGAGAAAGTGAGGGAAGGAAGGAAGCTAGAAGCTGAAGTTCCAGAAGTCATCCTCCTGGTCAAGGAGAGAAGGGCTGGCTTGCCCCAGACTCTCCTGGGTGTTGACGTAGGGAGGGCACTTTGCTGTGCCCAGACTCGTCCAGAGGCCTGCCTCCTGGCCCCACCCACAGTAAAACTCCCCAGCAAGCCAGGCCTGACCTCAGGGCCTAGAGGCCAGGGAGCCAGCCCCACGCCCTGCAGACGTTCTTCCTGAGTTACCCAGCAGCCCGAGGGAGGGCCACACCTCTCTACCACATTTGCTCTCCCTGCTGTCCCCAGGACTCAGCCACCTGCCAGGTCAGCCCTGACTCACTGCTCAGACAAGAAGCAGGCTCCAGAAGGGGGAGTTGGATGTGGCCATGTGGGCAGTGCCCTGGCCCCCTGGTTCTGCTCCCCTGGCCAAGCCTGGCGCCCCTGTGTGACCCGGGATGAGTCATTTCCCTGGCATTTCCTTGACAGCCCCAGCAGTAACAGGCAAGGGCCCATCCTGTCCTTTCCTACAGAGGGGGCCATGAGAACTAAAAACACGGCTGGGCTTGGGAGGTGGCCAACACAGACGTGTCCTTGGGGAGGCAGCGGAGGAAGGGACAGTCTCAGCTGGGCTACAGACTCCCTGTGCAACTGTTCTTCTCTGGACACCAGCTTCTTCATCTACAAAATGGGGACAGCAATCCTCCCACACACAGATAGAGCGCTCACAAGATAGGCAGGGGATGGGAACAGGCTCTGAAGCTGCAGACAGGGGAAGGGAGCTTGTGAAGAGTAGAAGATAGGCCCGCACTCTGTGCCCCTCGTTATCAGGGTCTGTGTGTCAACATGAGCCTGTGGGCTCCTCAAGGGTGAGGGCTGCGGCCTGATCATTTCTACATGACCAGAGCCCAGCCAGATACCTTGAAAGGGCTCAGTGCGTGGTGGTTAAATGAAAAAACGAGACAGAAACAGAGAAAACAAATGAATGAATGAACTGTGCTTCATGAGGACAGGGACCAGGCCTGTCCACAACAACATTCCTGCACCTAGAACAGCACCTGGCACATGGTCGGTGCTCAACACGTTTGTTGAATGAATAAGACAACAGAAAAACGAGATGAGCTGCTCTATTTTGCCTAGATCATCCCAGTATCCCCAGTGTCCAGCAGAGTGCCCGACTCAGTAAGGGTTTCCTGCCTGGACTGGGTCTTACCTTTCTGCAGGTGGATGATGTCAGGGAAGTTAGAGAGCAGGCCCTGGTAGAGAGACAGCATGTCGAGCATCTGGAAGAGGTCATTCTTGGGTTGCTCAGCGAACATCTCACCGACAACTTCATAGGTACGGCCCGTGTGAGAAATGGCATTGTTGAGGGCCTCGGAGCCAAATGGGGGGTCCATCTGGAAGGAATGACTGATGGCCTGGAAGGCACTGCCCAGCTTCTGGAACTCCTTGCGGAAGCCCCCCACATGCTTACGCACCAGCTCCGAGGCCACGGTACTGAGCTGCAGGACACTGTCATCCATCTTCTTGCTGAAGGCCTTGAAGGTGTCCACGCGGTCCTCCACGTCCTGTAGGTCCTGATGCTCCGTGGGAATCTGGAAGGTGAGCAGGAAGCTGGCACCCACCATCTCATCCCTTTCCGCCCGGCGTTTGCCCATCTTCCACTGCCTGTTATCCAGGCAGCTGAGGAAATGCTGGAAGCCTTCATACTGGGAGAGCACAGGGTGGCTGGTCATGTGGTCCATCCAGAGGATGAGCCGCCGCTTCCGCTTCTCAATGAAGTCCTCCTCAAAACGGCCTGTGGCCTGCTTCTCAGGCAGGTGGGGCACCGAGATGACAGTGAATTTGTGCAGCAGGCGGTTGTAGAGCCAATCAAAGTGTTTGTAGCGCCGGTAGACAGGTGAGCCAACGTGGCTGGGTGTGAGCTTGTAGGAGATGTAGCTTTTGATGCCCTTGAATTTGGTCTGTTTGGTGGGGTCCTCCACAGTGCAGGCAAATGGGTGGGGGTTGGCCTTCCACTGGGGGCCACGAGGGCCCATTTCAATGGAGTATGTCTCAAGGATCTTGGTCATCATGGGCACATCACCCAGGATAAAAGCCTCCACTCCAGAACGCACAAAGCACGAGAAACGGTTGAGGTTGCGCCCCACCACGCTGCCTCGCTTGGCAGATGCCAGGCTATCCTGCCGCTCTAGGGGTGGCTTGGGCCGGAAAGCCATGTGCTGGCTGGGGTAGGCACCTGGGTAGGAGAGGTTAAGTGGGGGGTGCCCATTGGTGCCCAGCCCACCAGCCGGCGGCTCCTCCACCACTGTGCAGCCGTCATCCCAGTCATCCCAGTCATCATCATCGTCCTCCTCGAAGCTGCCCTGGTTGGAGAGGAAGCCACTGCCGCCAGCACTACCGGCCGAGTTGGTCACATTGGGGCTGCTGTGCAAACTCACCTGGGTGCCCAGAGAGCCTGCGGGACTGCTGGAATAGTAGGCATGGTTGGAGCTGGTGTCAGAACGGATGATCTCCACATAAGAGGCGGGGAAGAGCCCTGTCTCACCGCGGCTATTCTGGCCCTGCAGCCAGCCGTCCAGCGATGTCTCACTAAAGATGACCAGGTCCTCATCCTGCTGGATGCTGATTTCCTCCTTGTTCTCGCTGCGGAAGTCATAGAGGGCTCGGCCTTTCAGTGCCATGGTGGGCCGGGTGGTAGAGATGGGAAGGAGAGGGTCCTGCCAGAACCCCAGATGTTCACTAGGCTGTCCAAAAATGCACTAGCAGCTCCGCGCCTGTCACAGCAGTTCAGTCCCTCAGCCCCTAAGGCAGGGTCTCAGCACCCATGGATGCCGTCCAGCCTCCCTCTCTTCAGAGCAATGTCCACGGCCCAGAAACTGCCCTATCTGGTCTCCAGGCACACAACTGTGAGCAGGGAGGGCTCATGTCCACTGTCTTTCTTCCCGCCCTCAGCAGCCCCTGAGGGGTATGTGGGGAGAGGACTCTCCCTCTTCCCACCCCCAGAAGAAAAGTCAAGTGACTTGGTGAAATCAGCTCTTCAAAGGCGAGAGTTCGACACTTTCCACTGGAACAATGTTCTAAAATAGAAGAGAATCACTAGGAAACCACAGATCCTGAAACCCAAGCAGGGCTCTGCCGTCCCTCTGGCTCCCAGCTTCTTCTGGCTGCTCTGGCCCTGGGAGGCTCTCGCATTCCTTCGCGGATCGGCTCCTTCCTCCTTCCTCCTCCTCCTGGGCCACTGGGTTTTCAAAAATCCAGAAAATCCAAGAGGAGCAAGAAGAAAGGCAGCACAGACTCCTGAATCGAGTCCAAGGGTGGATGTGTCCGGCTTCACAACGAGCCAGGCCGGGAAAACAAGGACTGAGGCTTACACAACAGGCCGCCAACTCCCGACCCCAGCGTCGCCACAGGCCGGCCCCAGGCCGGCTCGAGGCGCCCTCTCCCCGCCCCGCAAGAGGCCAGCCCCCACTCCAGTGAAGAAAGGGGCGGGACCAGGCACTCAATCGACTTCTGGCCACTCGCTGAGTGGACTCTTTTTGTTTGCTTAATTCCTTAGCAGTTTCTGAGCCAGAAGCTGACCCTGATCTGAGTCCAAGGACCCCTGTTCAAAGGTAACCAGTCACGGCGCGCGCGGGACGTCGAGACCCCCACCCCCTCACCCCTCGCGCGCACGCACACACTCAACAGTAGTTCGGTGAGTGAGCTCAGTTGAGCAGATGGCGCGGCCGTCAGTCTGTCGGTCCTCCCGCTCTCCCCTACCGGGCCCGGCCGGTGGGCAGCGGGCTGCGCCCCTAGCCCGCCTTCTCCTCCTGCACTCGCAGCCCTCTGCACCGCCTGCAAGAAGCCAGCTCCAAAACAAAACAAAACAAAACAAAAAAAGGCGATTCCGGGAGGTGGCGTCCCGAGGAAGGAGGGAATAACCGAGTGGGGGAGGCGAGGGTGAGGAGAGGGAGGGAGGGTGGAAAAGCCGGCTAGGGAATTGGGCGAACTCCACAGCACTTCCGTGCGTCTGGGCTGGGCCGGGAAGGCCCGGCTCCGCCCTCCAGCGGGCCTGGGGCGCTGAAGCCGGACCCCCGCCTACTCCGTTTAGCTTCTATCCCACTCGCCGTCGATCTCATTTGCTTGCCATCCGTCCGGGATGCGAGACGGAGGGGAGAGACGACCCGGGAAGGGGGGGCCGCGAGCCTCCAGGACTAGTCCTTGGGGCGGCCGCATCCACCCCCACCGGGAAACACCTCTCGCTCTAGGGGTCTGAGCTCAAGCACTCCAGCCGCGGCTGCTGCCTCGTTCCTGGGCTCCGTCACCCTCTAGCCTTTTCCGTGACGCAAGTGGAGGAAAACTCCGAAGGTTTGCAAAGCTCGGGGCTGCGGGGAGGGCGCCAGAGCCGGAATCTGGGGAAGGAAGAGAGAACGTGGAGAGCCGCGCGAGCCCGAGGGGAGCAGGGCCGAGGACGTCCCCGCTCCCCGGCGGAAACGGGCAGTGGCGCAGCTCCCGATTGTTCCCCGGAGCGGGCCCCGCAGACTCCCTCAGCCAGGGCCGGCAGTGTTCTTATGGAAGCAGCCTGCACTTCCCCTGCGTCTGGCCTGGGATCCCGGTCGCTGTGGGTACCCCTAGCCAGCTAGTATCCGGAGCACCCCTGCCCTTGGTGTCTTCCTTCAGGGGGAAGGACAAGACCCCGTATCTGCAGTGACAGAGAACAAACCAGACAAGACCCGGTTCTCTGGTGCTTTGTGCAACGGCGGGTACTGGGTGTTCTGTCCTTGCAAGAACCAGAGAGGAGGGAGGCGTGGACCTGGTAGGATTCTGGGAGAGGGCTAGCCAAGATTTGGTCCTTGGTCAGCCTGTCAGTTCATACAGAGGACTTTGGGCAGTGACTCTGCCAAGGACTGCGCTGGGCACTGGGGATTACAGCACAACAAGGCAGGCAGTCGGGGCTCCTGCCGTGGGGGGCTTACAGTCCCCCTCTTGTGTTTAATTCATCCATTCAGTCTGTCTCATTCATTCAATCATGCACTCAAGAAACGTTAACTGAGTACCTACTCTGTACTAGGCACTCTGGAATACGAAGACGAGTAAGACATTGTCCTTACCTTCCAGTTCAGATGTGTCATGACAAGTAGACAGATGCACCCACCCAGTGTGACCAGTAGTACTATGATAAGTACTTGGAAAGGTACCTACTCCAACTGGGTGGAGCAAGGATTAGGGAGGCTTTCTCAAGGAGGAGGTGCCTAAAGTGAGGGAGGCAAAGGTTTTGGCATCCCTCTTTTACTGGCTATGCCCTGGAGGCTTGTCTACCCCCTCTAACTAGAACTTCCTTCCCCCTCATTCTCACTCTTGCCACTTGTTGCAGATTAACTGGCACCAGGGAGTGCTGCTAAAGGTGGGCACTTTTGGCTGTTGTGAAGGGTGTGACTCCCAGGCCACTGGCTCCAAAACCCACTTTCATTGGCATAGTTAGTGGAACAAACTCCCTATGCAGAGCTGACATTTGGCCAGAATAAATGCTGATGTATGAAGCCCAAGTACTAATTTGCACAGAGAAATACAACTGTCAGGCAGACCTGCATTTTTGTGTCAAGGGATCAAAGCAGTTGATCAAAGTTGATCAAAGCAGTTCCCAAGAAGCAGCCCAGTTACTAAGAAGTTTGCCCAGTGAGCTTAGAACTCCCACTGAGGGGAAATAAGGTGATGGTATGACACGTTCTCAGCCAAGGAATCCTGAGATCTTGTTCCTCACCATAGCAGTGGGCTTGATTCTAAGGACTCCATGTAGCCCAGTATCTCCAAGGCCAAAGCCTGAATATGTGTTTCCCCCAGCTGCTTCTGGGACCTCGCTTTCCTGTGATTTGTGATCTCTCTTCTGTTCACATCACCTCTCTCCAAGCTGGGTTTAATAATACCTACTTCCTTGGTGCTTGCTGAGTGCTAGACATTGTTGTAAATACTTTACCTTTATTAGCTCGCTTAATGCCACTGATGAGATTCTGCTCACCCAACTACCATCCCAATCCAGCCCAACCGCCCTGAGGGGCCCCCAGCCCCCAACCTGATGATCTTTAGTTGGTTCCCAAACACTTCAGTCACACAGTTACAGACCAACCATCTTGTGATTTACTTTCACATCTCTTCTGGGTGGGTTTTTCTAACTCTCAGGGGCCACCTTTATTTCCAGGTTCTTGAGGAGAACTCACTCTTCAACCTCACAAAGATTTCCAGAACAGGTATCTTCCACTCCCTCCCCTCCAGGGTCCCTCTTCAGGCCTAGGGTAACAGAGCCCCACAGTTACTAGTCCCAGGAAACTGCACCAATCTTTGTGGTTGGTTTCCATATGCACTGCCCATTCCTTTGGAAAGAGTCCGTTTATTAAACTTTCCTCAAAGTATTCTAATTGGAGTATATTTTTCCTGCTAGGACCTGGGACCCTAACTGATTCAGATGCATACATAAGAAACAGCATCCATCTATCCAGGCTTTCAATTTCCATCCTGCAGGAAAGGAAGAGTCATCAATGGAGAACTGTGGCCGGTAGCTTCCAGGCAGACCCTAGGACACTGGTGGCCAGTGGCAGCCTAGAGAACACACGTTGGCCTATTACTGTAGTACTGCAGGCAAGAGGTAATGAGGGCCTAAGGTGGGGAAGGGGTAATGGGGCTGAGAAGTAAATCTGGGAGAGTTTTGGAGGTATTATAGACTGGATTGATGACCAACAAGATGTGAGTATTGAAGGAAGATACAACCCACATCTTTAAAAATTATCTCCTCTTGACTCCATTGCCCCCACCAGCTACCACTCCCATTTTTCTGCCTCCCTTTGCAACAAAATTCCTCAAGTAGCCATCTATACTCATTGATTCTGATTCCTTTCCTCTCTTTCTCTTCTAAACCCCTGTAGCCAGGCCATCACCCCCATTCTCCACTGAAACTGTTCTTGTCAAGGTCATCAATAACCTCCGTGTTGCTGGATCCCAGTGGTCACTTTTCAGTCCTCATCTTACTCAGCCTCTTAGCAGCATTTGACCTGTTTGATCACTCCTTCCTCCTGAATAACTTTCTTCCCTTTGCTTGGGGAGACCACGCTGTCCTGGTTTTCTTTCTACCTCACTCTTCCTCTCCAGTATAGTGTTAACAGTAGTGTGACCACAGTAGCGTGGTTCGCTTGTCTTTTCTATCCATGCTCACTCTTTTGATGATTTCATCCAGGCTCATGGCTTCAAACATCATCTACATGCTGATAATGCCCAAATTATTTTCTCTCTAAAATTCCAAACTGATATATCCTTCTCCTTGCCATCTCCCCTTGGATGTTTTAGAGACATCTCTAACCTAACATGTCCAAAATTGAATTTCTGATCTTTTCCATCTCAGGTAATGGCAAGTAAATTCTTCTAGTTTCTCAGGCCAAAAACCTGGAGTCATCCTTGACTTCTCAATATTCACTACTGTTCTCCTGGTCCCAGCCACCATCTTTCTCACCTGGTTCACTGCAACAGCTTCCTAATGATCTCTCTGCTTCCACCTCTACCTCCCCACAGTCTATTGTCAACACAGCAGTCAGAGTGATCCTTTTAAAACATAAGTCAAATCATGTCAGTCCTCTGCTCAGAACCCTGCAGTGCTGATCTAATTGCCTCCATGAACTACTACTTCCATTGCCACGAGACCAGAAGAACAGGATGGTGTCTGGCTACCAACACTGAACGTTTTGATCGAGGACCTAATAGATGGATCCTGATCAAAAATAGAAAAAATGTGGAACAAATTTTCAAATTCTTATAGAAACCAGACTTACTAGACCTATTGGGATGGGGAACCCCGAAATCTATTCTTCTGAGATAATCTTTAAGCCTTGAACCGAAACTATCCCATAAAGTCATCTTTAAACTAAAGAACAGTTTAACTCAACTAGTAAAGAATGTTTACTTTGAGCAGTGTGCTCTTTTAAAGAATGATCTATATGAGATCAAACAGACAACAGTAATTCTAAAACACAGAGGAGAAGTTTAGGGGACAGAGAGCCTAAGTTAATGGTGGTGAAACAATATGAGTAGAGATATAGAGAATGGTGACACAATGCGAAGAACGTCACCAATGTCTTGAACTGTACGTGTAGAAAATGTTCAGTGGATGCATGTTTTGCTATGTGTATTTTCACCAACAATTAAGACAAAAAACCTCAAGTATCCCCATCTCACTCAGCTTAAAAGCCAAAGTCCTTACAAGGGCCTGTAAGGCTTTATGTTATCTGATCCCCCTTTAATCCCTTCCTTTCCTCCCTGCCCACTGTGCTCCAGTCAAAATGGCTTTCTTGCTTTTCTTCTGACATGACAGGTACATTCCTGCCTTAAGGCATTTGCGCTGACTGTTCCCTCTTCCTGAAATGCTCTTCCCCTAGAAATCTACATGGCTAAAACGCCTATAAAATATCACCTTCTCAATAAGACCTATTCTGACCCACCCTATTTAAAATTATATCCTATCCTCATTCAGGCCCTCCTTATTTTCTATATCCTGCTCAATTTTGCTTCATAACACATATCATCTGCTAACATGTAATTTTTATATATGTATATATACTGGCAATATTAAATTT